ATTTAACGACTCTCCCTTCCTGTTCGGATCGAAGTCACTCATTTTGATCGGAAGCAACACTTGGGAGCTCGTTCGCTCCTTCGACCAAATCCCGTGAAATAGCCTAACCGAGAGTGAGAGGGAGAGAAATTATACAATTATAATAATTATTTTTAATTAAAATTAACTTATTATGATTAATTACATTTAATTTTAATTAAATTAATTATAATTAATTCTATTAATTATAATTAATTTTAATCAGAATATATTTTAATTAATTATAATCTATAATAATTAATTATTATTAATTATAATTTATTAAAATTAATTAATATTCATTAGTTATAATTAAAGTAATTATAACTAATTATTTTAATTAATTTTAAATAAGATATAATTAATGATTTTAATTAATTATAATTAAAAATAATTATGATTATTTAATTATAAGCATTAAATAAAAGCAATAATCCCCCACTCTCCTTCCTCGACGTTCGTGTCGGACCGGCAAACCACCTAAGCACGCCTTTTAGCGTGGTGGGAAAGGCCCAGTTTTTCGTAGTTTTCCCCCTAAACGGGGGAGACGCCGGAAGGCTGCCGAAATTTCGGGTGAACGCAATACTACACTTGGACCTGATTGAACATTTGGAGGACTTTGACATTGAATTTGAGCCTAAATATGCAATGAATTAAAACCAAACTTAAAACAAATGAACTCAAAGTTGAATCAAATGATGAGAACTTGTAAGCTTGGATTTATAAGCTTGAACTTGAAAGACAATGAAGCTTGAACTGAACTTGACTCAAGCTCCTTTTTGAACTCGAATTGAACGACAAGAAGTTTGGACTTGAAAATGATGCAACAAACTTGAACTCTACAAGGACCACAGGGGACTTTGATTTGGACTTGAACAATAGAACAAAGAGATCAAATTCAAATGAACCTAAACTCAATTGAACTTGAGTTTGATACTTGAATTCAAACAGATGACTTGTGAACAAGGCTTGGACTTGGTTGAACTCAAAGGACAAGGATTTGGACATTAACATATTAAGTACAAACTTGAACAGAAGATTTAAAATCAAAGCTTAATCAAGTGATGTTGTAAGGAATGAGAACTTGATTCAAACTTGGACTTGAATTGAGCATGCATAAAGAACCATTCCTTGAATTTGGATAATCTTTGAATGATGATATTGAAATCAAATGTGAATATGTAAGTAGGGGACTCTTGTTAAGCAAGTCTCAATGTATATGAATGATGAACAATGAAATTTAGATGATTCAAAGTGTCCAACCAAGTTGACTTGCAAATGAGAGAAAGTGATCATACAATCAAGGCTACTAGAAGGATTTTGCATGAAGTGTATGATGAATACGGCGGCACTTTCATAATCAACATATGTATGCAAACAAACTAGTGGAAATCCACAAGGAATGAAAGTGTAACCAAATGGCAAATGTTCATCATAATGGTTTCGTAAAGGATTTGTGTCGCTCATCATAACACACACAAGCGAATGTTACAAGTTGTCAATAAAAATGCATTGGGAGATTATTGTTGAGTTCGATCCATTCAGCAAGTCAATGTTAATATACAAAGTGAATATGCTAATTCTACCTACAAATAACGATTCTAGTGGTGTCTCATAGATGATGAATCATTTATGAATAATAAAGATTGGCATACACATGGATATGGTAATTCTTCAATAAGAGACATTATAAATGTGATGATTTGCTAACCATCATATGCAATGCAGTAGGTCTACAAGCAAAGAGAGAGGAATGTTAAGGGTATAACTTCTTTCCAACCAATGCTTAATGTAGTCCATTGGGAATCATGCTTGATATAGTCCATTGGGAAGATAACAACTAATGAGTTGCTATGAATACGAAGGACCAAAAGTAAAACATAGAGGAATTTATGACAAATGAAGGCATCTACAAGCTATGTAGCAAGGGGAAGTGGGTACAGAGGGATCCTACAGTCAATACTTATCAAAATACATATGAATGCCTCAGTCTTCTACGATACAAGGTTGATATACAACAAGCACATTGATCTGCATGCAAACAATGATAGAAGATTTGCAATATATATAAATCCTTTATGAATACAAATGTATGTACAACATCCATCCAGGGGTAGATGCATAAAGACTACAGTAAATGCAGTATTCTGTAGTCAACTTCAGTCTAAGGATGAATACATCTACCTCCAGCAGTAGCAGCTGTATTGTAAAGACCAAAAATCACAGCAGAATGCATAAAGAATACAAGTTCCAACGAGCTTCTACAACCAAAACAGGAGATTAGTTAGTGCACTACAATCTACCTGTATAAATCATACAAGTAGTGCACAACAGTCTACCTGTGCAAAGCAGCAAACAATTCCATTCAAAAGTTGCTACAAAACGCCACCAGATCTACAACTTCTATGCAAGCGGGCAGTAGGCGTCTACAAGTACTTTCAAAATACCCCTGCACGTGCACTGTAATTTGTATACACATAGGTACACTAAAAGGGGTAAATACAATCTAAACCCGCAAGGGCCCCGTCAAGCGTGTTATTGGTACACACGTGACGTCTAGGGATGCCGCGCGGGTTATTAAATTTGAACCCGACCCTTCTAAGTAGATAAAAGGAGTTGACAATGTTCAATTATAAAATGCCCCCAAACACCCGCATGGGCCCCGACGAGCATGTTATTGGTATACACGTGACGTCTAGGGATGCTGCGCGGGTCAATGAGTGAATTCAAGTTCGAACCCGATCGTTCTATATAGACCAATAGGAGTCGACAAGGTTCGAACCCACAAACAAATATGTGGCCGTGACGACCATAATATTTGTTTTAATACATTCATATTAGGCCTTCAAAGCCTAAAATTAAGAGAATTCACTCTCAAAGGCATAAAGCCTACGAAACCCGATCCTCTGTCCACAGCCAGACAAAGTCGACAAGGTTCAAGCTTTAAATGAAAATGACCCCGAACACCCCGATGATGGCCGCGTTGATTGAAGATCTCAACCGGAGGGGTCCATTCCAAACACTTTCAAATTCCACCCAAATACCCACAAAAATCCCAAATATCAAAAAATCAAAAAATCTCAAAATCCCAAAATATTTAAAATATGAAATCCAACTATTAATCACTTAAAGCAAAGCCCATCCACCCTCCGCAACAGTCTGCCGGGGTGGACAAATTCAAATAAGCTCTAGCTCACAAAGAGCCAAATGCCTAGTCGAAAATATCACTAGGATCCATTCTCAAATAATCTCTTGCCAGTAAGGACGTGGTATGTGTCCTCTAACCGGCAGTTTCGCCGCCAAATGGCATTGCAGGTAAACAGTTATGACCCGGAGCCCTCTTAACCGAGTGGTTTTGCCGCCAAATGGCACCACAGATAGCGGTTATGGCCAGAGCCAATACGCTCCTTAATGACGTTAAATCCTTGAGATATGAATCAATAGGATATGATCGATAGGGCACAAAGCCCTCTGTTAGCTAAGGTGGATTCAAATTTGTCCCCTTAGACAAACATTCAACCCCGGTCTACAAGGTCCCCTTGGACGAAGCAACCCATGGCTGCCGACAAGGATCCTTCTGTCAGGTTGGGTTGACTACCTCCTCCGACTAAGTAGACCAGGGACCACGATGGCCCGGGACGACGGAACCATGAGATCTTGATCGGGTCTATCATCCATTTCCCCACCATCTACTTTAAGTGTAAGATGGTGCAATTTTGAATTTTAAATATCAAATCTCCCAAATCTCCAAATTTCCAAACCTAAGCTGCTATTATATGCCAGATAACACGTATTTCTTCGTATCTGATTGACGACTAGCCTTAATCGAAAGTTCTCTCTCGTGATCGGGAGGGGTAATTAACTATAGGGGCTTGCGCCTATAGAAAACCAGAACTCAGATCATAAAGTCCTCACTAAATGTGGGCGAAATCTCTGGGTAGTGTCTTATCTGCAAACCCATATGCCTTCCAAAATTTACCCCGTAACTTATTTCGTTAAAACTCCCTCGCCGAATAAAAAGAAAAAGTGCGGCGGGGAGGCCGGGGCCGAATTTTCGGAGCCCACAACTTTATTGATAGCATGGAAAGTTCATAACTTTTATTAATCCCTTAAGTGCAATTCTTGTCACCGCATTTAGTTTCACATCACATTCGCATTAAATTTCTTAAATCTCAAATGATGAAATTGATCTCATTTATATGTGATTTAATTAACATATCGTCTTGTATGATAAGCAAGCAGAGTCTTTGCTTTTTGTTGGAGAGACATATGATCATGCAAAAAGACTCCAATTTGAGCTACAAATGTCTGTGATTGTTTCCTTTAAGACCTATATCAAGTCATCTTTTTCCAAATGTAGCTGAAGCACTAAGAGGACCTTCTAAAACCAATGTAAATCCTCATTTAACAAAGCAAAGAGAAGCCCTAAGTCTCAAAAGACGAGGAAAATCACTTAGAAAAAAGTAAAAAGTTTAATAAAAAAAAGATGAAAATCACCCACTTCAGACGTTTCTTAAAAAGGACGCACCATGATTTTGTTGAGATATTACTTCAAAGTCTCGGAAATAAACTTCATATGATTTTCTTTTCTTTCTTCCCCTTCTCCCTTTTTCACTCTCACCTCAACTCCTTCACAAAAACTTAATACTTCTTAATGCTCTCATACAAACTAAACTTCAGTATATTAACTTATATCAACAAAAATGTAATTCAAAGTTACTTAGCTTAAGCAAAATCATCTATCACATTTTCATGTTTTCACGCAAGATGCTTGGTACCCACCTCTTCATTTGTTTCATGCATAAATGTTAAGTCAATGCCTAACAAATCACCTAACCCTTCTTTAAGCTTTTACACAAGAAGCTTCAAACTTAGCTCACTATGTTATTCATGTTATTGAGTAAATAACTAGCAAAAAAGTTATCTTGTTAACCACTTATCTATTCTTTTGTTTTAAGGTTAATTTTCTTGTTTACAAACAGGAATTAATGTACTGGTAGGTGCTGGTCTTATTTCCATTCCGCATACAATCAGAGAGGCTGGTTGGATTGCGTTGGCATTCTTAGTGTTTTTTTCAATTGTTTGCTGCTACACTGGATTTCTTTTGAAATACTGTTTTGAGAGCAAAGAAGGCATTTTAAGCTACCCAGATGTTGGAGAAGCTGCATTTGGGAGATACGGGCGACTTTTTATATCGGTGAGTTCGTAATTTTTTTAAGCGAAATTTATGGGTTGATTGGAAGCACAGGGCATTAATGACAACTAAGTATATAATATGTTGGACTTAAAAATATTAAGCTTATGTAAGTTGTATTTTTATGCTTAAGCTTAATAATCTAACGTGTAACATTACAAATATATGCACTAAAGACTCTTGGATCTTTCAGTGTGTGTGTTCTCTATTCTTTTCATGCCTAATGATGCTTGGGAAATCTATATTTCTCTTGATCTACAAGAATTAAAAAAATTAGGATCAGGGGCTTGTTTCCATGAATTTTGTTTATTATCATCATTTAATGGATATGCTATTTGATGCAAGGAAATATCATCTCTCTTCTTTTTTTCTCATTTGTCTCAAGTTATAGCAACTTGCTTTTAAAAATTTCTGAACTCGTCAAAAATTATTTTTTAATTCATCTTGAAGCATAGCCTGTTATCAGGAATACAAAAAACAAAGGCTCATAAAGGAATTTAATACTGAACAGGTTCTAAGGATTCCGGCCGAGTGCCTCTTCTTTACAAAAATATCCTTGATGTGTTATTCTGACTCATTATTGATTGCATAATCTATGAGAAATTTAAGCTTGGCTTGTTGTATCACCAGATAAGAAACAGCTGAAAAGAGAAGGCATGGAAGGGTTGACCCACCTATAGTGCTTTATGGCTAGAAAGCCTGTTAAGCCAGGACTGTTGGACTTGAAAGACATAATTACTCACTAAAATTTACAACTTAACTCAATAAAATCATTAGTTGTGTGATTACATGGGTGATATTTGAATGAGTTTGCTATTAGAAACCTGTTAGAAAATACTTGAAGATCTCAAGTAAAACCTAACGATCACGACGAAAACAATGAGAACTATCCACAATTCCAACAGAAAAAAGTAGTTTTTATTGCGATAATCAAAGATAACAGAACAAAAAATATCAAGATACAATGGATTCTCAATTTGATAGGAGGCTCTATCTCTCCCAATCCCTAGACGCCGCAAGAGCCCAAGTCACTAAACTCCAAGACGAAAACAGCCACAATAATTTGCATAATCCTAACCCTAATCTTTTCTTCCTACTTAAAGCATACAATTAAACCTCCTAAGCCAAATTACTCCTTAGCCCTAGCCGCCCCCTCCCTTCCTAATTGGATTCATGAGTGGGACCCACCCATGCTTGGGCGGCAAAATCAAAAGGGCGGACTTGCTTGGTCTGCCTCTTGTACACTGGGCCAGCCCATTGCCAAGGGTCCGCCTCTTGTACACTTGGGCCAATCCATTGCCAAGGGCCGGATAGACCAATCCAGCATGGACCGGTCTAACAATACCCCCCTCTCAAAGAATCACCTTGTCCCTAAGGTAAAATGAGGGGAAATGATACTTTACCCTCTCATAAGGCTCCCACGTGGCATCGTAGTCCGGTAGGCTCTTCCATTTGGCCAGGACTTCTTTAGTTCCCCCATCTCCCTGGAGAACCCTCATCAATTCTAAGGGTTCAAATACAACATCCAAGTCCTCTGTCAACGTCACTAGTAGCTCAGAACTTGCTGCATGATCCCTAATTTTTGCCCTCCTTAGTTGTGATACATGGAAACCGAGATGTATGATTGCTATCGATGACAATTTCTACCAATATGCCACCGTTCCGATCCTCTCTAATATCTCAAATGACCCAAAATACCTTGGGGCAAGCTTCTCATTCCTCCTATTGGTGACGGTCTTCTACCTGTACTGTTGAAGTTTTAAGAACACCCTTTCCTCTACCTCAAATTGGATGTCCTTCCTATGCCCATCTACTTGTTTCTTCATAATTTGATGAGCCCTCAATAGATGCCTCTTCAATTATTCCAACACCCAGCCCCTCTCTTCCAAATATTTCTCCACTGAAGAACCTGGGGTGCTATTATGCCTAAAATACACTAGGTGAGGTTGATCTCTTATGTACAACACTTTGAATGGGTTCATATGAGAAGCATATTGATATGAAGTGTTGTACTAGCACTCTACCCATGCCAACCACTTGGCCCACAACCTAGGTGTCTCCAACACAGCATCGTAGGTATGTCTCCAAGCTCCTATTGATCACCTTTGCATTCCCATATGTCTGCAGGTGGTTGGTGGTGCTCCTCTTCATTACTATCCTCTGTAGTTTAAATAACTCCCGCGAAAAGTGACCGAGGAACACCTTATCTTGATCGAATACCATAGAATTTGGTTTCCCGTGCAGTTTGACCGCCTCCTTGATGAAAGTCGACGCCACTGTTACCGCTGTGTAGGGGTGTCATATGGGAATGAAAAGAGCATACTTACTCAGTCTGTCTACTACCACAAAAATCACTTTGTACCCTTATGAGCGAGGTAATCCTTCTATGAAATCCATGGATACCTCCTCCCACACTCGGCCTAGTAGTAACCTCCTGGAGATATGACCATGTACTTATTCCTCTGACATATCTCACATTTGGCTACCCACTCCTCCACATTCTTGTGCATCCCCTTCCAATACAACTTTGAGGATAGTCTCATGTATTTTTTCTGCACCCCTGAATGTCCCCCAATCATGCTCCCATGGAACTCTTGAAGCAGGTATGGAATGTGAACTGATGTCTTAGGCATCACAAAACTCCCTTGGTACAAGTGCCTCTCATCTTCTGAAGAATACCCTGGGTGGCTACTCCCCATATTCAATAAATCAACCATAATTCTTCCCAACTGCTCAACCCATGCACTCTCCTCCTTAATGGCCTCCCAATCCAGTATCAGTGGTATCGACACTGCTATCACCTGTAACTCCCCCATACATAGGGGTGTCAATATTTGACACGACACAAAAATCGACCCGAAAATTTCGGGTCAACCCGGCCTAACACAATAGCCATCAATTCCCTCTCATAAATTGATTTCATCCTAGCCTTAGTTGTCAACACCTGGCTGAAGTAGGCGATGGGTCGATGGCTTTGTATGAGTACTGCTCCCAATCCATATCCCGAGGCATCTGTCTCCACTATGAAGACCTGATTGAAATCTGGTAGGGCCAAGACCGGCATAGGGGTCATAGCCTTCTTCAAGCTCTTAAAAATTGCTGTGGCCGCCTCTCCCCATAAGAATTTTATCATTCTTCAACTGTTCTATCAGTGACCATGCGATTGTGCTATACCCCTTCACGATGCTCAGGTAGTAGCCTGTCAGCCTTAGGAATCCCCTTAACTCCATGAGATTCTTGGGCAATAACCATCTTAACTTAGCTTCAATTTTGGCTTGATCTACCGCTACACCCTTCTTTGAGACTACATGCCTCAAGTACACCATGCTGGTATGAAAAAAATAATATTTCTTCATATTGGCCCCAGCTGGTGCTCCTGTAACACCTCTAGTACCTTTTTCAAGTGTTCCCAGTGCTCCTTTGACCTGTTGCAAACCAAGATATCATCAAAAAACACTAACACAAATCGCCTGATATAATGTTAGAAAATATTGTTCATGAGAGATTAAAAAGTGGCCGGGGCATAAGTGAGGCCAAAAGGCATTACGAGGAATTCATAATGCCCTTCATGAATTTTGAAAGATAACTGCCTTTTCATCATGATCTGATGGTACCCTAACTTTAGAGCTATATTGGTGAAGATAATTGCCCCACTCAACTCATCCAATAGCTCTTCTATCATTGAGATGGGAACTTGTCTGACACAATTTTCTTATTCACTGCCCTGTGGTCCAAACAAAACATTGAACTCCTACTTTTTTCTTAACCAATAATACTAGGCTAGAAAAAGGGCTAACACTGGACTTGATAATCCCTACTTCCAGCATCTCACTAATCAACTTCTCAATTTCATCCTTCTGAAATTATGGGTAGCAGTAGGGCCTGTCACTGATAGGTGACACACCTTCCCTTTAGGTGATAACATGCTCCTGATCCCTTGGTGGTGGCAATCCCCGAGGTGGCTGAAAAATCTGTCTGAATTGTTGAATCAAGGGCTGTACTGAAAAGGGAATGTCCCCACCCTCCTCCAATCTGATCCACTCCACCAGATAACCTTCCCCCACCTCCTGTATGCTTCTCACGATGGTTTTAAGTGATACCATGGCTTTGGAGAGCCCTGCATCTCCCCTGATCACTACCCTTCTCCCTTCCACCTCCGGCTCCATCGTTAATGCCCTCAATTGACCCTGTTGTCCTCCAAAGTCTACAACCATTTCATCCCCAGGATGACATTAGTGCTCCCCTCTAATGGGAGAATCCCCCATCACCTGTACCTCGTGTATGGCAACACCACTCCCCTACATATCCCCTGGCCTGTCTCCACTTTCATTGTACCCATCATCACTCCATAACACCCTATATCTACTAATATCACCCCCAATTGGTCCACGAACTGGTTGGAGATGAAATTATGGGTAGCCCCACTATCAATCAGCACTACCACCTCGTCTGCTAATTCTCCATTTACCTTCATGGTATGATTCAGAGTGAATCCTATCACTGAGTTCAGAGAGAACTCTACCATGTCCAGATGCAGCTTGTTCTCAACCTCTCTCTCTAACTCTCTCCCACCTCCCTCCTTAGTTTCCTCGTTATCACATACAGTGAGAACCTGAAGAGTTCGGTCCCTACACCAGTGCCCTGGAGTATACTTTTCATCACATCTTAAGCATAGTCCATTCGCCTTCTTCTCATACTTCTCCCTCTCAGTCAGTCTTTTGAAGTTTTCCCCACTTCTTGTATTGGCTTCTCCCTGGGAGTCTCATGTATGTTGCTTGATGTAGGCCCTTTGGGTGCTAGAAGGGTGGTAGTCATCCTGTAAGAGCCACCTAAATTGTTTTCCTTGGCCTCCCTCTCCTTGTACTTCTAGTTTTCCACTAGTTATGTCAATTCCATAGCCTCTCCCAAGTCACGAGGCCTCATGACCCTCATTGCTGCCAGAATATCTGATTTGAGTCACTTCATAAAATTCCCCTCCAGAACATTATGTGATAATCAATCCAATCGACTTACTA